GTGACATCTGAGCATGTTCTTCCAGGATATTCTGCATTTTTTGATTAAATTCGAAAATAATAAAGTCATGACATAAACTCCTAATTTTACTTGAACTTACTTCAAATCACCGAAGCATCTTTACATAAAAAAGTAATTGATGCATTTTCTAATTTGTGTTTATAATAATTAACAAATTATTTAGTACGAGTATCATACAATAAATTATATTTGCTATTTAGCAAGTATTTAATTTGGTCGAAAGGCTATTTTAAAAAAAAGCCTCCATCGAATGAAAAAATGAATGAATTTCTATTCTATTGAAAAAGTTTTGAAAGCACTCCCCCCGTCGGGGGAAAAGAGAGAAGTTCTATTGGTAAATGAAAAATATCTCTTACGTTTGTTGCCTTGGAGCAAATGATAGCTGTTGGTGGGATCGAACATCGTCGATTTACATTGTAGTCCCCGCGGAAGAATGGCAAGTTCCATTTTCCTCCCGCGAACTCTCGTTATGGTAATTCCCCGTGAGAAGCGGACAGCCATCGGTAAAAAAAAAAAATGGAGAATCTTAGAGTTATCTTAGTAATTTACATTTTTGCAAAGCATCGCGAATCCAGCTGCATCCGACTGGAACGGCCGTTCGTTCTATCAGAGCTGGACGTGCCGTTTTGCGTCGCCTGGTCACGCTCGAAAATACGACGATATATGCGTGACTTGGAAAACGGTGCGTTTGGAAGTTGATTCATGAAATAGTACGAATTCATCGAGTATTCAGCGGCTGGTAGCGGTATATCGGCTAGACGATCGATGGGGATGAATTAATGCCAGAACAGGAATCAACTGAAACGCTTAACAGTACACTATCGTGATCTCGCGATCGCCGGAACAACAAGAAGGAAGAGCTACTTACCAACTAGATCGAAACGCCATTCTTCAGCCCCTTTCGATGCTCCGATAAAAAAAATCTTTCCAACGTTAACCGATATTTAACTGACAAGAAATTGCATTTGCTTTAATTAAAAAACAAATTGATTTTCGATAAAAGAATCAAGCTCACTGTTATACAGGGTGTTCTTTCTTGAGTTAAGGCTTCGTTAAAAAGTTATTAAAAAATTTCAAATCATTTTGAAAAAATTATTTTTAGCTGCGGAGGCCAATTAGAATTAGACATTTTTGGTGAATAGACATACCCCCGAAAACCTACCCATTTTCGGGAAAAAAATTCGAGTAGGTGTGAAATTTTTCGAGGAAATTAAAAAATTTCAAATCGTTCTAAAAAAATTATTTTCAGTTGCAGGGGTCAATTGCAATCACTTTTGGTCAATACACATACCACCGAATTCCTACGCATTTTCGAGAAAAAAATTCAAGTAGGTGGACAAATTGCCGTTCTACAGGCGGATCTTTGAACGTTAATAACTTTTTAACAAAACCTCAATCAACAAATTGGTATTCTTGATTTTCGTCTTATTTTGTCGTCTAGAATCTGCCATTAAAATTTTTCCTAGCCGAACACCCTGTATTTTTAAATGAAATTAGGTATTTTTAGCTTTATAATATTGCTCAGGGAATGACGTAGCTATTCTCTTAAAATTTTTATTCTCCCGGAAAATATAAACAAAAAATATACTTTTTCGTACAAATGCCTGCCATTTTGACAATTTTCACTAAAATCAAATCTTTCGAACGTTAACCAATATTTCACTGACAAGAAATTGCATTTGCTTTAATTCAAAATAAATTGATTTTCGATAAAAGAATCAAGCTCACTGTTATATTTTTAAATGAAATTAGGTATTTTTAGCTTTATAATATTGCTCAGGGAATGACGTAGCTGTTCTCTTAACATTTTAATTCTTCCGGAAAATATAAACAAAAAACATACTTTTTCGTACAAATGCCTGCCATTTTGACAATTTTCACTAAAATCAAATCTTTCGAACGTTAACCAATATTTCACTGACAAGAAATTGCATTTGCTTTAATTCAAAATAAATTGATTTTCGATAAAAGAATCAAGCTCACTGTTATATTTTTAAATGAAATTAGGTATTTTTAGCTTTATAATATTGCTCAGGGAATGACGTAGCTATTCTCTTAAAATTTTTATTCTCCCGGAAAATATAAACAAAAAATATACTTTTTCGTACAAATGCCTGCCATTTTGACAATTTTCACTAAAATCAAATTTTTCGAACGTTAACAAATATTTCACTGACAAGAAATTGCATTTGCTTTAATTCAAAAACAAATTGATTTTCGATAAAAGAATCAAGCTCACTGTTATATTTTTAAATGAAATTAGGTATTTTTAGCTTTATAATATTGCTCAGGGAATGACGTAGCTATTCTCTTAAAATTTTAATTCTTCCGGAAAATGTAAACAAAAAACATACTTTTTCGTACAAATGCCTGCCATTTTGACAATTTTCACTAAAATCAATTTTTTCGAACGTCCATTCCTAGAGAATATATTACAGTTTCAAGCGCTTTCTGAATTTCATTTCTGATGAGAACACAAACGCAAACAAGTATTATTTTTAAAAAAGTTGACGCTGTTTTTTACAGTTCGTAGCATGGTAAATGAAATTTGCAGTAATTTGCAAAATGTCTTTCTCTTAAGGGGTCTGATACCTCTAGCGGTGTGGAAAACGAGGCATTTTTTTAAGCAACACTGAAGATAAAGTAATCATTCAATTATCCTGAAACTTTGCACTGTATTTAGGTATAACAAATGTTGAAAAAAACCCTTGGCAATGTTTAAAAAATATTTATAATTAACCCTACACAGCGCCATGTTCCCGAGCCACTTCTTGTTTTGATGGCCAGCTGGTGTGCAGGATTGTGGTAAAATGGTTGTTATGTACAACAAAAACCGAAATATTCCATTAACTATGATAAATGTCCTAGGCATTGACGATGAGACATTTCAATTTATAGAAAAATGAACAATGTGCCAGATATTTGAAACTTAAAATCGAATTTTAACACAAAAACGAGTTCTTATTACGAATATTTTGCAGAATTATTTGACAATTTTGAAAAAAACGGATCGTCAATGCCTAATAAATATAATAGTAAAGATAACTGTAAATTTTCAAAGCAATTGATTAATTAGAACTGGAGTAATGCTGCACACCGTTTTGTAAAACATAGTTACGGGGAAAATGCATTTAACGCGCTACAGGACGCAGATACACGTCATCGTTTGGGGCTCTAAATTTTCAGCAAAAACATTGTTCCGACACTGAGACCTTTCGCATAATGTTTTTAAGGCTTCAAACTATTATTTAAGCAAAAAAAAAGATTGTTTGAATTTGGATCACGTTTTGGGAAACTTGTCCCGCCATGGAACGATTCGAAACGATTTCTTCGATCGTGAAGCTGGGCCCGGTACGGTTAACGACTCCTGTTTGACGTAACCTCTTAATATTAATATTATGTCAGTCATACACGCTCGGACGTCTGCGCGTATGACTGGTCAGAGGCGACAATAATTCTTGGGGATGATCAAAAGTCCGTAAGAGTCCAGTGGCGGTGGCCGTGGTGCTCGTGATCCGAATGTCAAGCGAATTCAGACAGATCCGCCTTCACGTGTCACTGTCCCTACCTCCGTTGTGTCCTTTTCAGCATCGAACTCGCCGCAAAGAGAAACGGAATTACGATCGAACGATTCCAGTCCTCTCTCCACAGATTTTCAGCGTTTCAGCCTCGCTAGTTCCTTTCGACACTATTATTTCTCCGTTAGGGGTACATTATTCGCCTTCTTGGGTCTGTTATCCTTTCAGAACCGGGGGCGTGGATTTCGAAGCTCTGGTTCAAATTTACTTGCCAATTTTATAGAATTTCTCTTAACCGAAGATGACTCAAAGTCTGACTGGAAACGTTTAAATAGATCTTGAACATTTTCAACTGTGAACCAAGACGTTTTAAAAATACTAGGAGCAGCCTAAACGATGATGAACACTAGAGGTAAAATAATAGATTGGGAGAAGAGGAACCGTCGAAGGCCAGTCGGTAGTTGAATATTTTCGGATGTCAGCGACTCCGAGGGCTGAAACGGGTGAACGTTCGTGGAAAAAAGCTGATGGCGGAATGATGGAGATCCGCAAAGCGTAGGAATCGAAATTCAGGAAACGTGAATTCCCGTGAAAGTATGTCCTGACCGCCCCGCCGTTCCTCGAATTCCTCGTATTTATAGAACGATTGCAAATATACAAACCTTTCTTATTCTAGCGTTAGATCCTCTTATCAGGCATCGATCTGTGTGACTCACGATCGGCGACCACCATCATTGAACAAGGAAACCCGACAACATCGATTCTTAGCATTGTCTTTGAAATTCTAGCGAAACGAAGCCTTCTAATTCGTCGGCCTTTGACTTCATCACTTTATAAAGCACACAAATCCTTAACAATTAAGATAGTTTGCCACGGTAAGTTTCAAGTTCTTGTAAAAGAGACCTTGTCCACTCGTTCCAATTACCCTGATTCAATTGTTCGAAGGAAGAAGGTGAGCATCCAAATTACCAGATATTGATGATCCTCGAATGTCACGATTACTTTACACCAACTAAAGGGGGAATCTAGTACTAGAGTCCTCTTGTTGCGTAGCTCAATTAGTCGAATCGAAACAACAATCGACCGGGATAACAATTAATGCGTTCGATCGAACGGGCGTCCGATCAAGAATGGGGATCACGTATCGTTGAACGAGACGCACGTTTGCGTTACGACGATCCTGTTGGGTACGAGGCAACCACCTGACGATCCATGGTGGGGGATCCAGAGGATCCCGTATCCCCGTTCCGCGCGTGGATCCAACCGATTCTATCCTACCCCCTGCGTGCCCCTAGCTTCTGGTATAAAAGCAATCGCGGATTTCAGGATAGCAGCATCGTGCAAAAAGTTCCCGGACCAGGTAGACCTTGGGTGATAGTGCTTCAACGGATCCTCCACTTCCGCGAAAGAGTGTCCTGAAACGGCCAGTTTACCCATCTTTTTCTGCTTCAAGTTGAACCTTTCTCAAGGATGACGCAGTGGATGAGCTTCGTCCTCCTGGTCGTTGCGATGACGATCGTCGCGACAGAGTCCAGGGCTATACCAGCTGAACCCAGTAAGTATATTTCGCGAACAAGACAAAAACTGAAATGAACTCGAGTTCAGTGACCAGATCGTTCGCCAAAGGTTCTTTCACTGTTCATTCGGGCGTATTTTCTAACTAACATGATAGAATACGTGCATATTGGTCAGAAAATCAAAATATACACGTTTACAATGTGTGCAGTAACATCTGCTACGCACAACTCCAACTAGGGACTTTGGGTGACATATCAAGTTTAATTTTGATACTTTTATTGATATTTTGATATTTTGATTGTTGGTGTTACAATTGTTCCCGACTGTACTTGCTTAATTAGAAGTTTCCATTAATGGTACGTTCATGAATGCTTTGCAACGATCAGCATTTTTTAATGAAACAACAAACTGAAGATTTAAAACAGGAAAAAAGGCTAATTATCCTTCATTATGCAGTTGTTTAAATGTAATTTTGCATTCTGTACCTGGAACTTTTGTTAATATTTGGAATGTTAAAGTTTCAGTGATGTTGAACCCTTACGGGAACCCCATAGTGTTCCTCCGGGAGAAGAGGACGGCCGTGCACCCCTATCCCCATAGGGCGATGATGTTCACCGGCTACTATAGACCAGTGCGTCGCTCGGGACACGATGGCCAGGCGACAGGTGTGTTTGCACAAGGGAATGCAGTGAGCGGTGAAGCTGCCTTCTTCGGTGGCATGCAGACACCACACTTGAGGAACGGTCCAGAGCCAATCGAGGAACAGGAAGTGTCCAGCGCGGAGGCCCAAGCGGCTCCAGCGGCTCCAGCCCCCGAGGAGTCCTACGGCCAAGACAATCAGACCCCCCTGCAACAGGATCACGGGTATCAACTGAATGAAAATCACCCTCAGAGTGGTCAATATCCTCAGGAGGAGCCACATTATCCACAAGAAGAACACCACCACAGCGACGAGGATCAAAATCACCACAAGCAAGGCGGTTTGCCCCCTCAGGTATCGATACGCAACATTTTTTAAACGATACCTACTTTCCGAAACGTTTTACATTAGTTTTAATCGATTTAAATCGGTGTTATTCTAATTTGTGTTTAATTTTCAATATAATGGGGAACTGGATAAAAAGTTTGTTTGTTTAAACAAGTCGAAATATAAAATAAAAGGAGATCATACACTCCGCGACAAAAAGGCATTGCCTTTGATGTTCTACTGTTTTATAATAATAACAAATTATATAAGTATATTTTATAATATTGAAAAAGAATGAAAAATCGGTGCTTCAAAATTTTTCTGCAATTTCTCTTGACATATTGTACAAAAACATGATTTTCGTTTTCACCCCGTTACTACCCCCACGGTCAAGATGTCAAGTTAAAAATTGGCACACAGTGTTTTTTTGGGGGGCACATTTGACCCCCTTATTTAGCTATACCGTTTGAAATTAAAGAAGATTGTATTAAAAAGAAAGGGATCGTTGACACTAGGAGCAGCCGGAAGCTCAGCCAGCCCCATCGCTGACCACCGAAGCGACTCTTCTAAACCCTCCTAACGCAGAAGCGCCTGGAAACCGTCCAAAAGTGAATCGCGGGAAGAAGACCAAGAAGCCTCCAGTGGTGGTCGAAGAGGACGACGACGACGACAACGACGAAGACGAAGAGGACGACGACGACGAGCCTACAGTTCCTTTTGTGCCGTTCAAAGGCAACCGTCGCCGACAGAACTACCCTAATTTGAACAATTATTTCCCGATGGTGTTCAGTTTCCCCGGAGTGTCGACGCGAGCTGGATCATCGGGATCTCCTCCAGGCGCTGTCACAGCGATCGCTAATAGCTATTCCACTGGAAAGGGAGGCGTTGCCAGTTCGGTGGCTACGGCTTACGGAGGATCTCCCAATGGGTAACTTAATAAACAATTATTTATTTACAGATGTTTAAGTATATTTTTAAATCGATCAAACAAATCATATTGTTTGTTGGACCTTCGCCATATTTGCTCGAGAACATAGATTCTTACTTTAACCCCTTGATTGGGAATCCCGTATTCTATTCGTGGTAAGTAATCTGAAAAAATTGCAGAATGCATTTAATATGCAAAGATATAAGAAATACTTAAAGTGAGAAACGAATTATTATATTTGAGCCGTTTATTTTGAAAGTGGCCCAAGTCCATTTATTATACATATCCAAGTCATTTAAGCTCCCATTAATTCTATTAATTAAAGTATGAATTTGCATAAAGATCCGCGGTCTAGTGATAAGTTTGATAAGTCATATTTAGATAGAAGGGTTAATGAAAAAAGTGTTAAGAAAGTCAAAGTTGAAGAAATACTTTCGACGTCTCGTGACCGTGCAATTTTGATAAAAGAGAGTGGTTTTTTTCTTAAAACTATGAAAGTTGTGGCAGGAATTTGGTTGTCAAATAAATGAGCCTCTTTAGTTTAATAAAATAACGTATATATATTTTCACACAATATTCTTTACACGTGTGCCTCACACTCTCTCGATCCAAGGGACTTCTGCGCGTCCCCCTCTCGCGCCCCAGCGTTGCCAACATCCACACTCATTCATTCCCCACTCACTCACCAGGCATACCACACAATAAAAATAACCCCACAAAAGTAACATCAACCAAATATGGTAAAGTTCTTGGGTTGGTCCAATAATTATGTAAAGTTGTAGTAAAATTATCATCTCTTGTGAGAAGACCTCTAAAATGCAAAATTGTCAATGAAATCATCGCAAAAGAGTACAAATCTTATAGAAACAATTTGTCGACTCAAGTAAACTCAACGAAGAATGGAATAATTTATGTAGTATAAGTAAGGAGGAAAACTACTAATTAAAAAATTCTACAATTTATTCCTTTCTGCAAGTTGAACCGAAAAGAGTACTAATAATAAATCGATTTAAACATTCCAGAATTACATACGTAAAACTATCTAATTAAACAAAAATCCCTCTTGCAACGCAATCGTAATAATGAATTATTTCCTATATGAATCCATAACATAGAATTAATAAAATTAGATATAATCAATCAGTGAATGTAGAAGAGTAAATAATAAATTTTAAACTGCAATTTAATAATTCTAATTCATGGAACAATTTGTACAGGAAAAAAAAGCGCCCGCAAGTATCGGAGGATTAAATCTTCAGCTGGTTGATCAGTTTTGCGTCCAGATCTAAACAGCCATCCATTATTAGATCCATATTCCACACGCAACATTAAACGCAGACTGAACTGACGTTCCAGGGACCCTTTGATTTCGACGTGATCGACGCCTGGTCCCAAGAAGAATCAAGATGGACGTTCATAAAATTCAAGCCAATTCGCGTTCCTGCCAATGTAGTTTCCAGAATAAGAGATCCCGTCCAACGATACTGCATGGAGCTGTAAAGATCGAATCCAAGTGATATTCGCGGTGTGAAAGAAGACTTTCTAGCTTATAAAATATGCCTTTTCGCGATAGCAATGCTATTAAACATTATGTGATCTTGACCACTAGTGAAATAAACTTTTGATTAAATTAAACACTCTGACCATTCGATCTAAACACCATTTAAGAATAATTTTTTCAGCTTTTTGGTCTACTGAGCAAACCTATAGAAATGGATTTGAAATGATCTTGGAAATTAAACAAATTTGGGTATTGTACATACATGCTCTAGAATAGCCATGTTATAAACTAACAGAATATTAAAATATTACTTAACACTTTACCGACCGGTAGCGGTTGATTAATAGGTTATCGGTCGGTAAGCGTTGGTCGGTAAAACAGTCGATTAATAGTCTATCGGTCGGTAATGTGTTAAGTAAGGTAAGAAAAAAACGAAACATGTCCTATAAGACTATCGAAGAATTCTTTTATAATATTTAGGTTTCATAATATATGTATATTGGGTTGGGCAAATATTTTCGTGCAGATTTTGGCAATACCTATCTTCGTTATATGTTTGTATAGGATGAAAGAGAAAATGACACGATTAGATCTTCAAACAAATTACGATTTCCCACTGACGTAATTTCGTTGAGTTACTCAGTCTTTAATAAAAGAAGATAGTTCTCTGAGAGAAACACGGGAAGATTAAATAGACTCGATAAACGAACGAGTTAGAACGGTCACGTCGTTTTTGGAACCCTGAGATTACATATGTATATGCATATTCGACAGAAAAATACGTTTGAATGATTCATCTTTCTACTCGGTGGTTTCGATGTTTCGAAATTCCTTGGCGCGATTGTTATTGACCCGTTGGCATTGAACCTCGAGTCGAAAAAACACGGAAGGAACTACCTGTCCACCCACGCAGCATATATTATATCACCACGTACATTTACTATATATTTTATAACTCTCGACCATTCCTTTTTGAACAAATTTTTTCCTCTCATTTTCCAAGTACACACAATTTCCGTGTTACTCGATTAATAATTCAATTTATTTCCTGTTACTAACGTGTTATTAATACGCCATCTTCTTGTAACATTAGACAAATTTCGATGGGCGAATAGAAGTAAGTTACTTTTATTTTACCGTTGTCTTAATCTAATCTATAATGTAATATACTTTTTATATCATGACAAAAATACGATATATGTATTATAAAAAATGTCTAAAAATGTTTGGCAATTGTTTAACTACCATAATCGGCAAAGAATTATCGAAAAAATTAAAACTTCTGTTTTCTATTCGTATTTTGGTATCACTGTGATAATTACAAGCATACAAATTCATATATTCTGTTGATGGTAAAACTGCATGTAAAATTATTTTCTCAGAAATCGTTCTAAAGGAATATTTATCGATTTTGTAATGTATTCAGAGAGATTAAAGGTACATTTAAAAAACTCGACTGTTGCATGAGAGCATCGTTTATTGTGGATGATACAGAACTAACAGATTAGAAGTTTCAAGGTAGTAGTGGAAACAAGCTGTGTAGGGATATTTGCACAAATTTCCCCCCCCCTCCCCCCCCCCAATTTCCTGCAATAATTTATCTAAGTAGTATTGCGGTCCAAGAATGTTTCGATAATACAATAATAAATGATTTAAACCACTTTCCTTCATAAAGAATGTTTTTTCTGGAAAGGAATAGGTTATTTTAGTCGAATTTTTAGCTCGTGCTTGACATTTAACAATATGCTGATACAGGTAATCGAAAGTATCGTGCATAACAGTATCGAGCATATTTTATATAAGTGGCTTTAATAAAATAGTAGAACATGATAATCAAAATAAGGTTACAAAGGAAACTTTAAGTTACGAAGAAAGTGTATGATTAAAATAAATTTTAAGCTTTCTACGATTAGAATGAGTTGTCATAATTTCGTCCGGGCCAATCCACTATTATTGTTATTATTATTGCAAATTTAATGACAATTTTTAATTCGTTGATCCGATAATAATTAATTAAAAGAACGACTTGGAAACTATTGGCCATAGATAGTATTAAAAAGAGAAGAGATTTTAATATTATTTGAATTATTATATATTCTAAATCTCGAATGCAGAAAGAACGAAATTAAACAATTTCCAATCATACTAAAAAAATTATATTTAGTTACGAGGATCGATTACAAGCATTTTAGGTGAATAGACATATCCCCGAAATCCTACGCGCTTTCGAGAAAATAATTCTTTACCGAAAATCTAATGTGAGGCTTCCTTGTTTCATCCGAATCTTTAAAATGTCATAACTTCTGAACGTATTGAAGGATTTTAATGTTTGACGCGGCAAATAACGCGTATTTTGGCGCAGAATATGTAGGCATTATAACAATAGTGAAAAAGTTGTTCCTTAATCCCGTAAAGTTAGAGAAACCCCATAAAAATGGTCCAATTTTCAAACGCCCATAACTCCTACAATAGTGAACATATTTCAATGAAAATTTTTTCCAAAGTAGATCTCATCGGTGCCTATAAAAAAGTATTAGACATTTTTTCTGTAGAGCGTGAAACAAATTTATTAAAAATGGAAAACAATTTTTTAAGACAAATCAACCAAGGGGGTAGGTGTCTAAATTTTTCGACGAAAAAAAATTTCAAATCGTACTGAAAAAATTATTTCTAGCTAAGGGGGTCAATTACAATTATTTTTGGTGAATAGACATACCCCCGAAATCCTACACAGTTTCGAAAAAAAATTCAAATAAATATATCGCGCATAGCACTTTTTTTTCGTGACTCATTTTTGCTTTTCTTCTTGTATACAATGTTCTGCTCAACATAGAAATGTTTAAAACCATACAATATAGTTACCTATTAAAGAGAATACATAAATTCAAAGTATAAGATGCTTTTTCACGCGAAAAACGTCGAAAAAATCGGTTTTTGATTTTTCCTACTACGGCGCACCCTACCAAAAAATCTGAAAAAATTCAGGGAGATAACCAATGACAATACGCATATACAGTAATTATAGAAATCTAGTGTCTCGAAAGCTTCAATACGAAATCCGTATTTTTCTGTGTTTTTTTGCGTTTTTAATTTTTCACACCTAGGATTTGGAATCGAAAAATCTGAAAAAATTCAGGGAGATAACCAATGACAATACGCATATACAGTAATTATAGAAATCTAGTGTCTCGAAAGCTTCAATACGAAATCCGTATTTTTCTGTGTTTTTTTGCGGTTTCAATTTTTCACACCTAGGATTTGGAATCGAAAAATCGGACAAAATTCTCAAACACGTATCTCAATAACCGCAATGCACCAGATTTTTTTCATAATTTTTGTACTCGATTAAATAGGGGAAATAGGCAGAAATTCGTTGATCCGAATTTTCTCAATAACTACCCTTCCAAACACGATAGAGGGTTAAAATTTGGCACAGAACGTTTTTTCTTGATGCTCTATCGATGGATCCATCGTATGTCACATTTGGTTCAAGGGCACATTTGACCCCCTTATTCGGCTATACTCTTTAATTTCGATTCGAAGGATGGGTCTTGGAGAAAAGAAAACTTTTCTGTTAGCATTCTTCGATTGTTCCTTTTCCTTTTTTCAAAATGGTGTAGGCGTTCTTGCTACCGTTATGACGGATTAAGTTGGCCCCAACTTTTACGGCTCATTAAGTCGAAAGAAGTAAAAAACGCGGCAAGGAACTCTTGCACGGGGATTCCCCGGCGTTCTAAGGACAATTAACACATAGTGGACTCGGGATTCTCCGAACTAACCCGTGTCAAATCGGTACTCGGTCTACACGGTCGAAAGGTGTCGATGAACCGTCAAGGTTCGGTCCTTAAAATTGATTTATAACTCGATTCGATGGCAAAAAGAAGCAAACATTGTTCGATAAAAGGGAAAGGAGTTTTCCTGAAACCGTGTATACAACAGACATTTACCAACAATCTAATATTCAAATGAGAAAAAATATAACATTTCAGTACTGTTAAATATTAAAAGTCGTCCTGTAAGTTCCTGGCGTCGCGATATTCTAAAATGAAAAATGTCGAACAAACGTCCGAAATAATATCACTATTTATTTCATTTATTATTTTTGATTATCTAAATAATCAAAACGAAAAAATTCAAGATCAGAGCGAGAATCCTTCCTAAATTCAGGACATAATCAACTAAATGGTTGATATTGGTAAAAGAGGCGTGGGATACGAAATGGAAAGGAACAGTAAAATTTTAGTGAGATATTGTCGGCAGAAAGAAAGAGTAAAAGATTGTCGAATGGTCGGTTTTTGTCAGTCAGCGTGTTGAAGCTTGGTTGATCACCTTCACGAAGAGGAGGCTCGTCCGTGCTAATGAGTTACGAGCATTTCTCGGAAAGTGTGGCTGTTTCGTACCTGCGTAAATGCGTCGGGGTATCCCAGAACTCTTGGACCGGTCACGGTTCCTATATAAAGACCGCCCTGTCGATTTCCTCATCGTCATTTCGCATTCGATCCTCGTAGGAACTTGTTACGTGGCAGTGTACTTACTCCAGAATCATGAAGATCGCCCTAATCCTCCTGGCTACGATCCTGGCTACAGCTCTGGGATATCCTGCTCCCCCAGAAAAAGGTAATTCAAGCATCCACGTCTTCTACTCGCCAAGTTAATCATTTTTAAGGGAGCATTCTAATCTGGAGGTGAATTTTTCAAGTACTGTTTAAAATATGTTTAAAATTCTCGACGATACAGCTGTTTTAGTAGAGCTCCTTTTTGGAAAAAATTGATTTTTTGAAAAATTCGGCGTAGTAAAATTTCGTTCGAATGGTTTCGGTCTTTGACAAAAATGAACAAATTAGAATAATGTGTAATATTTCAGAAAAGTTATGATCAATTTATTTTATAATATTCAGAAAACATTTGAGAATACTTATAATCTCTAATTTCATCACTCTGTTTTATTTTATTATATGGAATATTTAGCATCTTCCACGTCGGTACTAATATATTCTTAGCATTGCGAGTCATCTGTATGTCACAACAATTTGTTAACAGACCAGCACAAATTGTCGTCTCTCGACCTTACATCTCTCGAAGGTCGATTTTCCTTCCATGAAACCTTCGTCTCGCGAAACGTTCACCGGAACTACCTTTTTCTCTTTTAATATTTACTTTCGTAATTCTATTCACCGACTCCTAACGAGTTGAGCTTGTTAGATACAATCCTTGCTGTTTAACTTACTACTTGAAATACCGAGGCCAATGATATGTAGTTTTAAACACATCCGGTTACTAATTTCAGAGATATCTAACGTTAAATTATTCGATAAGTTTTAAATTTTTTAAGTCGAAGTTTAGCAGATTATACACATTCATTATTTCTGACACTTCTGAAAATTAAATAAACTTTTACTCTACCTTCGCTAAAGAAAATAAATGAAGATAAAATAATGTATGGAATGTATAACATAATATCAACGTTTGAATAAAAATCCATTGACAAATACTGCTTTTCAAGCAAAATGAACATATTAAAAATTCTATTTTCGACTTAATCGGTCGGTAAAAAAGTTGATTAATACGCTACCGGTCGGTAAGTGTTGGCCGGTAAAAAGGTCGATTAATAGGCTATCGGTCGGTAATGTGTTAAATACAGCTCTACGCTCTACCATACAAATGGTGAGCAGTTCTTTTTTCTTGAATTTGGCATTTAGTAATATATTTATAAAGTAATCGTATCGTTAAAATAATTGTTTTCCTCGATTAAAATTCGTGTTTGTTAATTTCAGAAAGTATATTAACGAGGATGGTGCGAGAGGCGTCACCAAATCCAGGCCACTATAAACACGGAGGATTTATCGCTGGATATGGTGGTGGTTACGGGCATGGACATGGACACGGTGGTCACGGTGGATATGGACCAAGTGGTTATGGCGGTGGCTATGGAGGTTATGGTGGATATAGACCAAGTGGTTATGGCGGTGGCTACGGATTTTCTGGAAGCTCCGCTCACGCTGGCGCCATTAGCTCGCCTTTTGGAAGCGCGGCGTTCGCGAGCGCTAAAGCAGGGTGAATATCTATATTAATTCTTTAAAATTCAAAATTTCAAATGCTTATCACCACTGAAATATAAATAAATAATTTTAATCGAATGGCTCTTTTCTTTCCTCGTCTTCTTCGCAATATTATCAAAGTCATCTTGGATTATTTAAACAGAATGACCAAGTTTTTTATTCAAAGAAAAGTTATTCATACATCATATATCTATACTCACCTTAATAAGATGGAATTCTTGTATGAAAGCATTTTATTTCCAATAATTGATTTGAGAATTAATTAAGGTGGTGAAGTTAGGGGTTCGCTCTGTATATTATACAAAAAGAATTATACGTTTCCAATAATTTATACTTAATGCATTATAGAGTGTTCAGTAATTTCGTTTAAAAATGGACAAAGTTTCGATTATTTTCTTTCCCGTTGCAGAGCCACTGGATACGGACGATGATAAACCAAGTGACAATAAAGGCCAGTTACAATGTTTAATTCGATTGCTCACATATGTACAATAACTTCACATTTGTAACCACTTTTGTATAATAAATTTTTATACCATTCAATTGTTCTGCAACTACCTCGTAACGATATTGTATTTAATGTTCCAATTCGTATTGTTCACAACTATGACGCATGGAAATAAATTATTTATTACCACTATTTTTCTTCGATCATTCGTCCCACTAAATTTAATTCCAACTGGCCGACACGAGAATTGTCCTCGCATGTTTCGAGATTAAACCCCTCGATGATTGAATATTTTCCAAATTTACTACTGGCTACTGCCACCCTCTCCCAACCTCTCTTGGTCTCTCCTGACCACCGCTTATATTTCTGACAACGTATAACAATTACGACTGACTTCTGCCAACCTCCGTTCGCCTCTGCTGACTGCTGCTAACCACTTCTGATACTTCTGACAATGTATAACGATTACTACGGACTACTGCCAACGTCTCCCAGCCTCCACTGGCTTCTGCTGGCCTCTGCTTATATTTCTGACAACGTATAACGATCACAACTGACTTCTGCCTGCCTCTGCTGGCCTCTGCTCACCGCTGCTGACCATTCCTCATACTTCTGACAACGTACAACGATTACAACTTGCTATTGCTTGCCACTGCTGACCACTGCTGACCTTTGTTGACAACTTCCGCCATGATATATATGTATTAAAACTTTGTATAATGTAAATCTATGGCAATAAATGATATAATTTCAAAGAATTCTATATGTTCTCATCATTTTTACCTTTCTTTTCCTCTCCAAATCATTCCCTTAGTTTTAATAGACTACTCTCAACTGCGTTCGTCTATATAGAAAAAGAAAAGACTACGCACACGCCTGCCAAGGAAGGAAAAGGGGAATCCCTCCAACACATGCATGTTTGCCAACATTCCCAAGAATTTTTTATTTTGTCAGCAAGTACGAGAGCTGACGGTTACTGAATAAATGAATAAGTATTGTTTAATGACGGTAGGTATGGCGGTGGCGGTGTTAGGTTCATTTTAGACTTTGTTATTAGGAGGACATGATATGGGAAGAGGTGGCATAAAAATGATGAGAACACATAGAATTCTTTGAAATTATTTCATTTATTGCCGTAGATTTACATTATACAAAGTTTTAATACATATACATCATGTCAGAAGTTGTCAACAAAGGCCAACAGTGATCAGCAGGGGCCAGCAGGGACCAGCAGACTCCAGCAAAGGCATGCAGAGGCGATCAGAGACCAGCAGGAGCAAGCAGTAACACGTAGTAATCGTTATACGTTGTCAGAAGCATCAGGAGTGATCAGCAGCGGTCAGCAGAGGCCAGCAGAGTCAGACAGAAGTCAGCAGTGATCGTTATACGTTGTCAGAAATATAAACGGTGGTCGGCAGAGGCCAGCAGAGGCTGGGGGAGGCTGGCAGTAGCCTGTAGTAATCGTTGTACGTTGTTAGAAGTATCAGGAGTGGTCAGCAGAGTCGAACGTGTATTTATTAAACAAAGACAAAGTATTTTATCTTATTTAATGGTTTAGATTACCGAAATAAAATATTCTATTATATATTATGAATTTCAAAAATAAAACTATTTTAGTTCCAGTAAAAAGTTTATTATTTCAACCTTATTTTTGCAAGTTGGATGTTTCCATTGCGCGAACTCGTTTAAACTGTTAATATTAAGAATGCAATAACAAATTGAGACAAAATACAGTAAAAAATATAATTAGCAAATATAATAATTCATCCAAATGTAATTTAACGTTATAAAAATGTTCAAATACATCATATATTCTTCAAATGAACACATATTTTATAAAAATTAAACAAATTTATTTAAAGTTGTGCTGCAATGTAATTTTTGAAACTGTAAGAGTTAAAAAATATTTCATTCGATTTTTATGAGATGTTCAGCTTGGTGTGATCTTTTGGAATTAGCTAAACTGTGAAAGAACATTCTAATTGGGCGTTCTTTAAGAATTTTCAGCGTTTCAACGCGACGTACCGTGTAAAAGGTACACTTGGCTATATCCGGATGTTTGCAATGGATATTTTGTAAACTATGACGTGTCACGGCAACTGTAATCACGCACACCGAGCCTATAAAAGCGATCATTCCATCAGAGGGCGATTATTAACGCGTTACATTCCCTTGCAATCAATTTTTTTACACGATATTGATTCAACAGTGACGAAAAAATGAAGTGTCTCGCCATTGTGCTGTTGTCGTTCTGTCTAATTGTAAGTTCCAGCTAACTGGAAATACTTTATACATAATCAGGAACTTTAATTACATAATAACTTCTGTCTAAAATTCAGTTTTTCGATTTTTAAAAATAAAAAAGGATTAAAATTAAAATTATCAAATTTTCTCATGATTGGTCCGTTTTCAGATTCACTGTGGTTCTCTCGTTAGATCGGAATTTACAGGTAAACGAAACCTACTTATTTAAATAAATCGAATCGTTTCATTCGACTAAATTGCTTTAAAGCGGAAATGGGTAGAATTTTTATTGAAAAATAAACTTTTAATTCCGAATAAAAGATAGACAAGTATTTATACGTTATTTTGGTAAAAATTTTAATTACGAAATGATCAAAATTTAAATCTTTAATCGAATAAAATGTTAACCAACTCTGTTCTAAAGAAAAAAAAATCATTTCGAATTACAAAGAATTAATTTCTTCTTTGTCCAAGCAAATTCAGGTCAACGACGAAGTGTTCGAGTTCATAGAGTAGCTGATGATGAATTTCGTGGAAATGAGAATGACTATGCAACAACTATAATGCACGAAGGGACAACTAAACAACCCATAGAACGCCAAGTACGTAAATTACAAAGTATTTTCAAGTATTCCTGACGATATTACAAAATTACAATTTTTTCGAGGGAAGAGTATTGTTTGAGAAGTCGAATTTACTAAAAACATATTTATTATAATTGAAAAATGCGAAGATCGCATTGTTATTCCTCTAACTTTTCCTCTGATTCAAATTACTAGCTAAGCACCCACCATTTATTTCATAAAATTTCTATTATTTCGAATTATTAAAAAACTAACCTGAATGACTGGGTTCGTTTTTAAGAGAGAATTGTCGAAAGCGTTTAAAGACACTACGACCTTTAAACTGGCCTCGAAGAACACTAACGGTTTAAGAAATAATCTGAATAGACCGGAAGAGCTGAATATTTATTACCAAGGCAGCCAAGATGGCGAGAAACATACGAAGCCAGGTACTCATCAACTAAAATCATTTTTATCTTCACGAATTGAGTCCACATACGATTCCAAGTTGAACAACATCACACATTATTTAGATAACGACCTACAGGAGGCTAAAAATAACATAATTTACATTCGAAGCGTCCTTGAAAAACTTTGCAGGTAATAATCAGCCAAGAAAATGCAGCTAATTATCCGACAATTTCAAATCGAGATTACTTTGCAGGGAACTTCGTTCCAACTCATCGCCTTTACCGGAAGTCGATAATCCTGAAAACACTACGTCGACGAATCAGCCAAACAAACTATCGATTCCTTAAAAACAATTCTTAAATTACTTTTACCATCTATGTGGTAATATATTCACGAGAAATTCAAACTTACAATGTTAAATACGAAATATGTATCGATTTTTAAGCACGCTGTACGAAGAAAACGAAGTTTTATTAATTAATAATATTTCTGAGGTATAAGTTTTTCAAAATTGCTGGAGTTTTTAAAGTTTTCACGTACCAATTTCAGTTTATCGACATAAAAGATCGACAAAGGTTGAATATTGCGCCGTAAACGATCAAATTCTCTAGAAAATTGTTTCTCCGCTTGTTTGAGAAGTTTGATCGATTACATTTTATAACCGTTGGCGACGGGAAAGGAACCATCGCTACGCGTTTGCTTCTCGTTAAACGGGTAAGTTTATTGAATAATCGTGACATTGAAATACCGTAGGTGGAATCTGAAATAACAAAGACAAACAAGACTGACGTTTCTACGTTTCTCTTGGTTGTTTTTAATTGCAAGACGAGCTTAAGATCGCTAGAAAGTGAAGATCGTCGACGACTTAAACTGCAATTTGACACTGCGAGCAGTCGAAACTTTTGCAAAGAGATAAACTTTTCTTGGAAATATTTTCCTAATATTAAATATTATTTGGAAAAGTGTTAAAAAGAATGTGTGCAAAAATTAAAGAAACACCTCGTGGTACACCAGAATAATGTTCGTTTTAAAATAAAACTTGGTCTGCTATTTACTTCATTCAGGCAGATACTATTATATTATTAGTATAAAGAGAGAACCGATTTTTATGTTCGCGCAAAACTCAAGACCTATTGAACCGATCTTCCTCAAATTTTGACACGTTATTCCTGCATACTCTAGGACGGACATAGGCTATGTAGCGTGTCTCAAAAGCGCGTTATTAACATGTAATTTATATGCAAAGATTTCATGCGTACGACTGTTTGGCAGACCACGTAACCCCTGTATACGACAGTCTACTTGCGCGCGCATGCGCATATTCGGCCCGCGCGATACCTCGCCCGTAGCAGTACTTCGATGTTACCGCCAGGTGGCGAAGCTTCTCGAGCGCTTTCTCGCGAGAGAATTGCATTATCGCGGATATACATACGGATGTACATAATATATTAGTTCCTGATGTCATAGAGGTTTTTGAAACTTTTCCCTCTAACTCCAAACATGAAATCTAATTATATAAAACACTACACAACAACACCAACCTAACATGCTAATTGCAGGTTATAGGGAGTAAAGCCCCCACGGTACTGCAAACACACAGTGAGAAACCCCAAAAAAAATATTAGTTCTTGAAAAAGAAATTTGTGGTGTTAATTTAATTTTAAAAAGAAAAATTCTACCAATGGAACACGCCCTCGACTGTGATTGCTAGCTTGAAAATTGTTTCTTGCTTATAGTGGGAAAATGCATTACGCCAGAAATACCTAATAATGGTTATTCCATTACTGTTAGAACGAATTCGTATTCTACGAAGAACTTTTCATATTTCAATTTTGGCGAAACGAGTTCTCAACACGCATCGGATCAGATTTTGCACGAAACATTTTGTTAGACGAGTTTCGAAGCTGTTGCATTCTTCCTTGCATAACGATAAAACCGATCTCAATATCATACGTTCCCCTAAACGCTTCCATTTCGTTCTAATTATAGCGAACGAAACGCAAAGAGAAGATTGATCGCGTTAAGACGATAGAAGCTATGGTTACGGATCGATTGATCAATACATACGAAACGATACATCGTTTTTGATTGGAGAACCGATATCTCCATTCCTTGTTGCTTTGCACACCGAAACACTAAATTGAACGCGTTTCATGACAATTGGACAATAAATGGAAATTGCGCGTGTCACTGGATGATCTGCGAAATTAGAAATTAGTTTTTACCCTTAAAAATTGTGATTCACCCTCTTTGAACCTAAATTTTTACTTTGCGTACTTTTAAACACAATTCTTTTTACTAAATTCTGATTCTAAATTATTAAAAGATCCGTGGAGAAAATATTTGTTTTTATATTTTCGTTATTGTTGTTTATACATATAATATTACAATAGCAGCCGATTTGACGATTTATATTTATTGCAATTATTCTCTAATGGGGAAAAGTGATCGAGTAAGATGGTTAATAAATTGTTTAATAAAGTTTAATTGCAATGTAATGTAATGTGTTTGTTAACTACAGAAAATTTTAATTATTATAGTATGTAGGTGGTCCTCTTGAGTTAAAGAAAAGTTTCTTAAAAATATTATACAGGGTGAAGGTCGTAACACGACGACTTGAAATAACTCAACAATTATTTGTTGTACGAAAAAATGTTTCAGATAAAAGTTATGTAATATTTTTGATGGTTTATCCAAATGTGGGAAGAAATATTAACTATTCCATTTGAAAACTAAAAGCAACGTTTAAATCTTGATGAAAAAGCAAAATAACATAAAATCGATTTCAATATCATATGACCGTCTAAAAGTCATGCAACATTTATCTGAAACATTTTTTCGTACACCGAACAATTGTTGAGTTATTTAATTACTAGACTGCGGATGTTTATGCATTTATTAATATGCAAGAATATAAGAAATACTTAATAAAGTAAGGTACGAATTATTATATCTAGAAAGCTCCAATTTGATTAATTTTATTAATAAAAATATGAATTTGCATGAAGATCCGCAGTCTGGTACTATTATAAAAGAGTATGTGTATTTCTGGTAATGTTCGACTTACTCGTGGGTGGAAAATGTCTCAGAGATGTCTGGAGAACGTAGCCTTTCGTCGGGCACGAAGGCTCGAATGGATCAGGGCGTCGGCGCTGAAGATAGGGGCGGGCTGAACCTTCGTGCCGGCACCACCCTGATAAAAAGCGTCTCTATATTCTTGATGAGTGGCCGCAAAGCCTCTGTGAACCCCAACAGACTCACTTCCGACGACAGCACGAAACACGAGCCCCGAAAAAGGCATCGCAAAAGAATGCCCGACGCCGGAACTACCAGAAATTCCACGCATACCATCAGGCTCATCGAATCGTTAAAGAAAAAGACTAGGTTCTCCTGGCAAGTATCCATTATACCACTTAAAATTATTCTCGTTAGAATTTCTGACATCTTAACACATTACCGACCGATAGCCTATTAATCGACTTTTTTACCGGCCAACACTTACCGACCGATAGCCGATTAATCAGCCGCTACCGGTCGGTAAAGTGTTAATACGTTTACTGGCACGGTGGTCACCGGTGACCACCACCAAAACTACCAAGAAATACATAAATACTTGGAAAACTATTCTCCATGTTTCGTAACCAGAGTTTAATAATTGAACAGCAATGTTTCGATAACTGTGAATTATTTTAGTACATCATGCAAAAATGAAACTTTTTTATTTTTTTGTTGGTAAAACTTTTACCAATGTATTTACGAGAATTTATACATATATGTTAAGGATTCTTAACACTAAACCTACCGCGACCAGTCAAATGACCGTTTCGCGTTTTTTCAAATCAATAATGTATTGATTTAGACGAATCGAATGACGTGTAACTCACCCCGATCGGCGAACGGGCCGTTTGCTAGGAATGTTCCCAAGTTTATAAAAAAATAACGAATTTCCGTAGATAATGAAATGCATATCAATAATGTACTGAATTAAACGCATCGAACGACGTATAACTCTATTATTTAAATTATTTTTATTTTTTCCTCTTACGATTCGTGTTACTTTGAAACAGCATTTGATTATCCACAGGTTCGAATTGGATAATCTATGCAAGCTGTACAAGAAACTAACCAGTTTTGGCCAGCAACAAGTAGGGCAACCGTTTATTATGGGTAGAAGGCAGCAATCGAATCAAGCTATAGAGGTAGCGACACTTTGTACAAACCACAGTTTTGAATTGCATTCGTTTATAAATCGCGTGCGTGAACCTGTCATTTTGTGTGTCGGATGGAAACATGCGATGGGGCAGGGCACATTGAACGCTTCCATGTCTCAATTCCACGATTTCCAAGACACCCTGTTGGATCGATAGAAGACTTACGTCGCTTTTTCTATTTTTTCTTTACAATTTTTCTTATTATATTGATTATTTCGGAATTCTTTATCGATTGAAACTTTACCAGGGTATAGACAGATCGATTTTTCGAGACTTTCTGCACAACACGTTCAAAGTGATCACGGAAGACGCGCTGGTGGAGCGCATATTTTGTTGCTGGGATCGAGAGAACGAGGGGATCATCAGACTCGACACATGGGTCATGGGGCTGGATCTGTATCTTCGAGGCAGTCTGCGAGAAAAGATCGAATTTTGCTTCAAAGTCTACGATCTTAACAACGATGGATTCATTACGAAGGACGAAATCTTTCAATTGTACAAGTAAACGTTCTCAACTATCGATCCAATGGTGGATCTTGATTTATCAGGCCAAATTAGTACAGGAAATAAATTGTTTCGAATGGTTCAGAACTCACGTGTCGTTTAATTAAACAATTTAACCCTCTATGGGCCCGTGTAACTTTCAGGTCACATTTTAATTTATCGAGATTTTACCAAATAATTATAGCTTTTTTCAATATTTATGACCGTTGCTAGGCTCATTAACATCAAATAACAAAGTAAATGCTGTGCAAACTGTCCGCAGTGAATACAAGCGAAACCATTTGATCGAATTGATATTATTTGTGCTTCTGTCAGTGATTACGAAACTAAAAATAGTGCACATAATAGCTCTGGGTTCGTATATCAATAACAACTTATTTGTTTGCATTTCAATTTTCAATTTGTTACTGTTTTTTGATGATACAGTTTTGCAACTTTGAGGTCACAATGGGCTATTATGGCAGATTTCGGTACATTTGGAATAAAGCTTGTGCTTTCTCCTGTTTTCAGATTTATACATTATATACCCAAAATATGAATACAATTTTTTTTTTCATTTGCATATACATATAGGTTTATAATTGCTGATTTTTCGTTCCCTCAATTTTTTTGGATTTAAAATAAAAATTCGGCCCATAGAGGGTTAAATTCATTATTATTGTATTTTACATCAATCGTTTGATCAATTCTTTGAATAACACAGAAGCAGTACAATGTTAGTTGACCTTTACTTTTATACTCTCACAATTCTGTCAAATATACATCATTATTATTCACGATAACAAGATAATCGAAGATGTACTCGATTTAATTAATGTAACTAAAAACATGGGAGTTTTTAAAAAATGAATCTGAAATTCGAGCTTCAATCCATTTAATACAAACTAATAAATTGAGATTATTTATAATTTAATAAATTATGTCATACGAGACACTACGCAAGCTCTGAAAAGTTTAACAATTTATCAAGAATATTGAACAGTGCCAGAAAGGTATTAGAAAAATAGATGCTTGTTGCTCGCAGGAATTGTTTGATAAAACAACCTGGAGAAGAAGATCCGGACGAGGCGGTTAGGGATCTGTCAGAATTGACGTTGAAGAAACTGGACGTCGATCGAGATGGAAAAATTTCTTTCCAAGATTACAAAATGGCTGTCATGGAGGAACCTCTTTTGCTCGAAGCTTTTGGCCAATGCTTGGCTACGGACGAGGACTGTGCTTATATTTTAACTACGTTGCAGAAATAGTATAGTTTGGTCAGTTAGAAAACGTCCTTTGGTTAGGAGAACGCTCTTCCGGACTATAAACTCAGTTTTCTCTTCAGTTTTCAGTGAATTTAACACCTTAACGCTCATATTTCTCGGGTTAACCAAGAATGATCAGTTTTTGTTATTTACAATGTTGTATCTAATGTATAATTTGAAAGAAAACAAATATTATCCCTCAAACCGTTAAATTAAACACAAACATCGTTCTCCAAAGCAGTAAAAATTTTCTGTAGTTAATAAACACTGATTAACTGTAATTATTATCGATATCCTAACGATATGTAGTGCGTTACATTGCAATTAGAATTTATTAACCATTCTACTAGATGACTTTTCCCCATTAGAAAGTACTTTTAACAAATGTAAAGAAATCTTATCAAATAAAGCGAATGAATTTTAGGAAGACTTTTTCTATACGACTATACTCATACTTAAGGGAAAATTCACTTGACAAATTTGTAATCATGGCACCTGCCGTTTATTAAAAACAAATTCGATAGTAATCGTAATTACAAACAATAATAATATAATATAATATAATATAATAATAATAATTTTAATAATAATAATAATAATAATAATAATAGTATAATTAAAAAATACGCTCGATCTGGCTTTCTTACAGCGAGTTCGCTGAATCAGTCTTAACCCTCGGATTACCAAGCATCGAAATCATATTTTTCGAAGTATATTTCTCTTTTTCCTTCATTCCTCTTCTCCGACTCCGTTCGTCTTATTATCTTTGAAAAATATCGATCGAACCATCGATCCTCGATCGATAACCCGAAGGCTAATTTAAACTATAAAACGATTCTAGAGGTATGTTACAGTGATGCAGGGGTTTCTTCGTGACGTAATTGAAACAATTGACTTTTTTTCTTTTTTACTCTGCCGCGTGCAACAAAATATCTGCTTCTCGTCGCGGTACTTCCGGTTCCGGGGACCAGTGCCGCGACCTCAAGGTTCCTTTTTACGGACACTCGTGTTTCTCTGTATATATATATATACATATATATATATACGTACATATACACACTGCTGATAGACAATTTCGAGCATCCTTCGATATACATTTTTTTACACGCGTATACGCATTACTGGAAATTTCAATTTTTCATATCGAAAGAACATTAATCAAATATGGTACGAAATAACAATTGAATCCACGCAAGGAAACATGAAGTTTTGATATGCCTCCTGTTCTGACGATCAATTAATGGATAAATAAATTTTAGGTTAGTTACCATAGTTTTATTATGGTGAATAAAATCAGGAAAGAAGAGAAACCTATCTACTCGTTTTCTGGACAAGTGACTTTCATTAATGAAAAAAACGCTTCTCAAGAGACCATCTGATTTTCTAACAAAAATTTTGGCGATAAATTTTCGTAATATTCCTATTTCTCGTTCCACATTTAGAAAATTACTAGTGCCAACAATTTTTCTCCAGAGATGTTTCGAAAAAATCTTTTCATCTGAAATTGTGCTGAAATAAAATCCAATCGACAGGAAAACATATTTTCAATAAAACGTGCGTGTAAGAAAAGATGGTTCGTAAGGACGCTCGAAAAGTTTGAGTCTCAGTGTGCATGGATATACATACACACATATATACATACATATATATATATATATATATGTTTTGTTTTTGTTTAAATATATATACATATATTTACTTATTTATTTATATATATTCTTTCGTATATATATATATATATCTGCAATAATTAATATACACGCACGCGCTCGCGCGTTTGCAGGGTGCGTCGCAAATCGGTCGCGTCTATCTTTGTACGATTATCACTGGAACAGAGGTGGGAGAGGGGGAAAGATCGCTTCAGTTGTACCAAGGCAATCGGATTCTTCGTTGACAATTTCATACATTTCGAGTGAAGTTCGAGTTTGAAAATAAAGGTTAAACATGAAATGTAACTTGGAGGCAATTTGTACATTAACCGTTTGTGCTTCGAATGTTATTTATATCCGTTCGAGCCCGTGAAAGCAAAAATTGGGGAGGGGGTCTGTTGCTCGAAAAATCCGACTTGCGCGCCTGAGATATACATATACCTATTTTGAACGTGCACCTAACGTATTATAGTCGTGTTCGCCGGTTCACGGCGCACCTTTTCAACGCAAAATATTCGTAAACGCGCTCCGCGGAAACGAGCGGGACTCTTATGCGCGAATAAAAAATAAACGATCCACGTTCGTTTCGTCAGAGTGCTGAGATCTGCCGAAGGTGTCAAAACGACAATCATTCGTCCATTGTGACGTCGAACTAGCAGTCAGATAAAATACTATTTCGTCTGTTCTTTTTTCCTCTTTTCTCTTTACGTATATACATACTGTCATCTACTTTATTCTTTCTCCTTTCATCACTACGGTTGCATTTAATGGATTATCGCGTAAATATACATATATTCCTCTATCTATTTTTTTTCTCCCGTTTTTCGATTCGTCCGTTTTCCGTTGCTATTTAACCGCTTCGGTACGAGCGTCGACTATAGGCGACAGCCAGGAATTTTATCTTATCTCTGCAGTTGCGGAGTGTTCGCTCGCATACTTTTAGTTTCGCTCTGTCCATCGCCCAGCCACGGTTCTGTGACGTTTTTACACGTGTAAAAACTTACAATATAAATAAAATAAAACAATAATTTTAAGTTAAATTTTCGAATTTTTCATTTATCGAAATGAAACTGTCAACATTTGGAAATATCGTAATAAAAACATGCGATCTCTTGATACACATTACATGCCGCCTGTAATGTCAAACGAGCTTTCAGTGTTTCAAATTAGAGGTCGTGGCTTTTCACGTGTGTCTAAATACACGTGTAACGTGTATTAAGGAATTAAAAATCCGTGTTCTTAATACACGTGTACATGGATTATAAGTACACGGATCTATGGTCGCGAAATACCGCCTCGTAAAATACAACTAAATAGAAATACATACTTTGTTGTCACGTCGGCATGGCAACGTTCACGTTGCCCGTGAACAGAACTATACATATGTTACCGTGAATGACCGAAATTGGAGAATGTCAACTTTCACCGGTGAATGTCAACAGATACCAAATACGACGGTGAAAGATCGAATATTTCATTACATTGTTGTACATTCGGACCCTCTCCGGTGTGTGTCGACAATCACAGATATGCTCTGGTGGAGGTCCAAAACAGAAGAGTCAAAAAACAAGCGACTGGCTCTCTCCTGCCAAATCCTTTGTTCTGCTCGGAGTCAATCAGCTTTGTCAGTCTTATGCAAGCTTTGATAACGCGAGCAACGTTTTCTTAATTTTTTTTCCGATACCCTAATTTATACTAAATGGATACTGCAGTAAATCGTGATCTTTTTCTAACGCAGACCTAACCCAGACCTAACCCAGACCTAATCCAGACCTAACCCAGACTTAATTCAGACTTATTTCAGACCTAACCCAGACCTAACCCAGACCTAACCCAGACCTAACCCAGACCTAACCCAGACCTAACCCAGACCTAACCCAGACCTAACCCAGACCTAACCCAGACCTAACCCAGACCTAACTCAAATCTAATCGAGACCTAACCCAGACCTAACCCAGACCTAACTCAGATCTAATCCAGACCTAACCGAAATCTAATCCAGACCTAACCCAGACCTAACCCAAATCTAGGGTCTGGGTCAGGTCTGGGTTAGGTCTGGATTAGATTTCGGTTAGGTCTGGGTTAGGTCTGGATTAGATTTCGGTTAGGTCTGGGTTAGGTCTGGATTAGATTTCGGTTAGGTCTGGGTTAGATCTGGATTAGATTTCGGTTAGGTCTGGGTTAGGTCTCGGTTAGGTCTGGGTTAGGTCTGGGTTAGATCTGGATTAGATCTCGGTTAGGTCTGGGTTAGATCTGGGTTAGGTCTGGGTTAGGTCTGGGTTAGGTCTGGGTTAGATCCTTTCAGAAAGAGAGGCGAAAAAGTTACGTCACCCTTGTGACGTTTTATAGCGACTGAATTACGGAGAAGAAAATATAAATCTCCAACATGTTCAACACTCACCATTAGTGCATGGTGAATGTCAACATTTACCGGTGTAAGTCAGAAATGAGGGTGTTTAGCAAATATTTCGGTCATACACTAAGCGACTATGTGAATGTTGACATTCACCGGTGAAAGTCGACATTCTCCAGATTTCGGTGTTTCACTGTAACACATACACGGATATCCGTGTATTAAAAATTACACGGATTCAAGTTCGGATACGTTTACTACACGTGAAATAAGGACCTCTATTTAAAATCTTATCTCGTCACAGATCTGTCGATGAACGAGGCAGTGTGCGGACGGTGGGCAACGTTTCGTGGCAGATAGGTTAAGTTCCGTTCGAGACTCTACGACGAAGAGAAACTTGCAAAATAGTATCTTACCCGCTTCTAGAAACTAGACAATGAAGATTCGAGGAGGATAAACGCATTTTTTTCCGGTTTTTAGGCACTTAAACGTCGGGAGTAGTATTGGGAACCTTAAGGTGGAGGTCCATCGAACGCCTGCTATTTCCTATTTACAGTCTTGTTTGAAACGTGTTACTTGACGGAGCTGTAAACATTGCCTCTGAGCAACCCTAAAGCCGTCTCGTTGCTCCCAATTTCATTTTTCATTAGACCGCGGATGTCTATGGAATTTTTATTTAAAACAAATAATATAAGAAACACTTCAAGATACCAATTATTATATTTAGGGGTTGAAACAACCCTCTGTGAAACTCCCATTTCATAAAGATCCGCAGTTTACACGATCTTAACACATTACCGACCGATAGCCTATTAATCGACTTTTTTACCGGCCAACACTTACCGACCGATAGCGTATTAATAAATTTTTTTACCGACCAACGCTTACCGACCGATAGTCGATTAATCAACCGCTACCGGTCGGTAAAGTGTTAACCAACAATGAAATAACCTTTTCGACTGCCAGAGGCAATCTTTCCAGGTCATTAGTATACATCTTCCGGGGGAGGAATTGCATATCAACGAACCACACCGTGTATCGATCGCCCAGCAAAAAATCTCCAAA